AAAAAAATTAAATAAAAAGTAAAGTAGTCAAAGATTACAACGAATAATAATAATAACAAGAAGAAGAAGAAGAAGAAGAAGACCGAGGAGAATGTTGTTGGTGCCGATTACATTTATATTAAAAATATTTCTATAAATATATATATATTTTGTTAGATCACATATTATAAAATAATATTATAATTATTATAGAAAAAAAAAAAAATATATATATATATAACAACAAAAGAAATGGCATTACACCGGTAAATCCATCGCGAAACGTAGCCGGGACACGAGTTCGAACTGTGGTATCTTCGAAAACGGGGGTTGTTGTTGTGGGAGGGAGGGGGGCACGGTGATCCCTCCCAGTATACTTTTATTTTCTCTCCCATTGTATCTCATTGTAATATTATACGCGTGCGTAAAATAAAATTTGGGAGAAAGACAACGAAATGGCGGACAGGGGAAACTAAGTTCGGATTATAATTGTTCAAAATTCCGAACCTTGTTTTTTTTTTCTTTCCCCCCCGCCAGTCTCGTAATATTATAAAAACTATATCGGAATCTTTATTCTCTATCCCGATATTATATATATTCATATATTTCAAATTTATATATTATTTTTCTTTAATAATAAAGATTAACTTTAGTAGAGCTAGAAAAAAAAAAAGAGGGGGTAGTTAAAGAAGTGAAACGGGCTTTTTTTTATTGGTGGCAGGGGTCAGGGGCAGGGGTAGGGCTCTTAAAAAAAAAAAAAAAGAAAAAACAAGTGGGGTGGGGTTTGTTTATTGATCATTGATGATCGATTGGTTATACTCGTGGGGCGGGGCGGAGATGGGGGCAGGGGGCTGCAGCACGTGTTTGTGCCTTTAAATTAGTATTACGACTCACCTCATATTGATGAGATATTGTGCCAACGCAACGGCATCCGGATTTCCCGTAATGGTGATCGTACGATCCGTGGCACCGCCCTCTCTTTCCTCGCAGTTGCTTATTCTTATCATGGCACCAGATATCTGACGTATCTCAGCGATCTTGGTACCACCCTTCCCGATGATACAACCAATCAACTCGTTCGGCACCGTCATTTCGTGCGTCTGATTGTTTGCCGCTGGCTGTTGCCTGTTCGTGTTGTTCGTGCGTAATTGGCTACCCGCTAATGCTGCCAATGCTAAAAAAAAACATTTCAACACATTCAACGATTAGAAGTAATCAAAATAATAAACATATGCGAGATTAAACTATTATTATTATTATTATTATTATTATTATTATTATCTAAATTTATTTTCTTTTTTTTTAGGGGGTTGGGGGTGGTTTAAGGATTTCGTTGCTTTTCCTTCTTACATATTTCAGAGTAATTTTCTAATTGCAAGAAGAGGGGTGGGGTGGGGGGTAATAGTTACGGATTAGGGAAAAAGAGACAATTGTATCCAAGGACACGTTGTGAAAAATGCCTGAGAAAAGAAGACACGTGAAAATTTTCTCTTAAAATGAAAATATTATATAATTTATTATATTATCAATCTAATCACACAAATATTGTTCAATGGCGGAATATTTGTTTTTTCTTAGGGTAACCTAATTTTATACATATATATATATTAATAATAGTTCTTTATTTAAATATATATTACCTGCTGGATTGATTCCACCAGTGTTAGCAGGAGTGGCAAGACTACCAAGGCCCAAAGCTGCTAAACCAGCCAAAGGGTTGCTGCCAAGTTTGCCCATCTGTAACAACGATTGAAAAAACTTTTCGCTCAACAACAAAATTGTTTTGTTTAATTTTTTTTTTTTCTAGATTCTGGATCACATTGAAAAATTCGGGTGGGGGGGTCAACTTTAAGGGGGTGAGAGAGGGTGCTGCTTTGAAGCCTCACGAAGACACCGGTTAAAAAACGCATCGAGAAACTCTTTTCGAAAATATTCACTTTTAAAGGCAATGTTATTATTTTGTTTTTCATTTTTTAATTATATTTCTTTTTTCTTTTTTTCTTTTTTTTAAGAGAAAAATGGATTAACGTTAATTCCATTTTTCTCTTTCTATCTCTTTCTCTCTTTCTCTCGCTCTCTCTTTTTTTTTTTTKCTCGCTCGTTTTTGTCTTTTTTTTTTTTTTAAGGTTTGTTTTATTTCGTCCTACGACCCTTCGATCTTGAAATATTTAAAATTTTGATCTCGACATTTTCTACGATTTTTTGTCTTCCTTCATTTCCGGTATTTTACATTCTCTCTCTTTCTCTCTCTCTTTCTTTCTTTCTTTCTTATATTTTTAATCAATTCATTCATTCACGTATCGATAATGGGACTACATTGACAATCATTAGGTATATTTACTATATTAGATAAAATATATATGTGTTGGTAATTATGACAGTGGTCTTCAATACTAATTTATTTTTTCAACTAAATCCACTGTCATAATTATTTCCAAACACGTATCTAACACACGATCGAGGGGACAAAATCATTCTTACGATAAGTGCTTGTCTCGAGGTGCACGTTTTATTTCTCTTTTTTTTTTTCCTTTTTTTTTTTTTTAATGAAAATTAAGCACTAACTAATAATTAATTTCTCTCTTCAGGGATTACTAATTAATTATTTTCGAGCGAGATTCGAAAATCGAATCGACGATCGATTATAATAATTCACATATATATATATATATATATATATATATACACACTTATATACATTTATACAATTTTTGATTCAATAATTATTCTATGCTACTGATATAATTATATTAATAAATGTTACGAACAATTCAACAAAGAAAAATTAGCTAAAATCAAATCTAAACGAGGATACGATGGGAACACGACGAAATTATTTGTCTGTGTGATAAATAAAAATAAAAAAAAAAAAAAAAAAAAAAAAAGAAAAATAAGAGAAAAAGAAAAGAAATAATATTCCTTTATTTTTCGTCGATTCGTTTTCGATAAGTAAAAAGTTTTATGATATTCTTAGATCATGACGATATAGGAGAGAGTTCTAAGTAACGCTTTGCTGGTCCCGTCTAGCAGCGATTACTTTCTTCTTAGAAACGCGAATTATGCGTAACTACTACGGTGAAAACGATATACCTTTTTTCATTTCATTTCATTTCATTTCATTACATTACATTACATTTCTATTTTACGTTTTTTTTCTTCTTCTTCTACTTATCCTTTCTACCGAATCTAGTAGGGAAACAAACAAAAAAATAAAAAAAAAAAGAAAAAAAGAAAGTAAGAAAAAATATAAAATGTACTTTTGCAAATATACGCAACAAACAGCGTTTGGACGTCCCTGAGAAATAAAGGGGCTGTAGATTTTGGTTGCTAGAAGGGGGGTGGGGGGTTGGTTGGGGGCTGGTAATAATAAATGAGTAATTTTGTATTCTTAACCCGGATCGCGTAGGAACTTGCAGACGGGGGTGTTTGGTTGTTTTTGAACGGGGATGGGGGGCTTGCGAAAGAAGGGAAACTTCAGGATTTAACATTTTATTACATTGGATAATGAAATGTTTATAATATCTACGTACAGGGTTTGGTGTCTTGTATTTGGTGATACAAATTGAGCAGGGGATGATTGTTCATAAGAAATAATAGAAAAATAAAAAAAATAAAAAAAAAAAAAACTTAATAATGTAAAATTTGTTCACACGAGGATTTATTTATTTATTTTTGTCTTTTCGAAGGAGAATAAATTTGTACGCGTTTGTCGATTACGTCGAATAGTTAAAAATGTTGTTTAGGTTTTTTTTTTTTTCTTTTCTATTCAAATATGTTACCAAGTATCGTATAATCACTTGTATCGGTTTTATACTTATCTAACGAACGAGGCTTTTAGTTTCCAAGGTTGCAATCTCTCGATCGAGTTGAAAGGTACTCGACAAATTTTTTCTAAATTATCTTTATTATAAACAATGTTTTTTTTTTATACAGGAACAAAATTTGATTTTACATTTTCGAATGTCAGTTGTTATTCTCGTGTAGGAATCATTACCTGTTCGTTTGTATACCACAGGACACCCTGTATACGTCTAATATTTCTTATATTGTTTTATTCTTTTTATTCTTTTTTTTTTTTTTTATTTTTATTTTTTACTTTCTTTTATTTTTTTTTTCTAAGGTATATTATATTTGTATCGTTTAGTATAAATGATTCGTACGAATAATGAACGAGGAATGATAGAATGAAAAATTGTAAATGTTTCTATTAAAGAAGAAAAATAGAAATAGAAAGATAGCGAGTAAATATTATTTTCATGCATGTATATGCGTATACGATACGTTTGTTTGTAGAATGAAAAATAGTATGGAAAAATAATTTGAGTGTCGTACAAATTTATTAAAAAAAAAAAAAGAGAAAAATAAAAAGAAATGTTAATTAACATTTTTAACTCGTTGCTGTTGTTGTTTCATACGATTCGTACAATCATAATAATACTCGGAAACGATGATTAACGTTTAAAAATAAAAAAAAAGTTTATTATGAAAAAGTTGATGAATTAAAACACATGCATGCATGTATGTATGTATGAATACGTGTTGAATTATTATACGACTGGAGATAACCTTGAATATGTCCTTTGTTTTAAAATAATCTCTTATTTTGTATATATATAGATATA